GACTTCTGTGGCCCTTTTACCCTTCCTGTATTGCTCTTCCCTCCCCCTTGCCTGCTGGTGGATGTAGCATTTGTGAATAATCCATTGGGTTAGCCCCTATCAGAGATGTCTTGCACTTTTGTCATGGAAACAAACTGCTGTGTTAGTAGTGTTGGCCTGCACAAATCCCTTTTCTGGGCATCGTTTAAAAGCCAGTTAATGCTTATGTCAAGTGAGGCCTGAAGCCCGTTGTATCCCCACTCCCGTACTACCGTTCTCTTGTGGGTCAACTCTTGTAGTAGTTCAGATCCCCAGGGTGCTTCTCCTTTAGGCTAGCCCCCCTCTTACAGCATATGGCCCCTGTAAGTGATGTCTCCTCCTTTCTGGCTGTACATTTGAAAAAGAGACAGTTCATCATTCTGTTAAGATTTCCACGAACCTGAAGTCTGTGTAGGTCAATGATGGTTTGATATACTCAGGTGTTGTCCTGTTCCTTTCCTAATTCACCCAGCCCCCAATTGTTACTGTTTTGTGTGTGCTCCCTAGTAGCACAAAGGATACGATCCAGTTGGTGCCATGATCCAGAAGGTCTGAAAGGCCAGCTCTGGATTTGACCTTCAAGAAGGGGTAGCAGTAGACAGCACCAGTGGTGAAACTGCCATGTGCTGACCCCGGGGTGTTCACTCAGTGCAAGGCCTCGGTGTGTTTGAATCCTGGGCCAGGGCAGCAGTCAGGCTGGGTAGTCGGTGCATGTTCGTGTGGACTACCCTTTCTCACTCAGCAGGCTATGCACTTCCGTCCTCCACACTCCTTTTGGTCATCCCAGAGGGCAGACAGGCTGGCTGTGGAGTCCATAGAAAGATGAACTGTGATCTTCAAGATGTACCTATTGATTTAAAAACTTTCCGTAGTCAAAAGAACTGCTGTGTACAAGGGAAGACCTGAACCCTCTTCCAAATCTCTTAACAATGAAATAAAGTTATGTGGTATAACATTTGGGTGGTTTGCACCTCACCTCCTCTCTGATCTATAGACTCTCATTCATCTTGCCTGCTTTTTAACTCAAAGATCATTTTGGGTTTTCATGTGAAAATGGTCAGAGGTTGGTGTGTTTCTCTTACAGGCACTACACAGTTCATATATTTCTGTATCAGTCATGTATCCTGTAGTTCTGTGAGGTTAAGAAAACAGCCTACTGTACACACAGAGAAATTGGGATTTTAAAAATGTTCAAAATCCATTAATTTAATCTGCTAATCAGGATAGAACAATTGAGAAGAGAATGTTTCCCTTTTTTTTCTTTTGGCTTTGGTGAGTGTGGTGACCAGGACAGTATTTGACTGAAGGAGCTTCTACCATTCAGTGTTCATGTCTGAAATGAAACGGCCCCTCTCTTAAGTTTATCAGTGGTAGTGTCTTTGTGGGTAGGCTGGGGGGTTGTTATAACTTTGCCCAAGAAGTACTCTGGCATTTCTCTCTACTGAATGTCTCTGCAACACTTGAGAATTTGTAAGTACCCCCCCTCGCTAATCCCACCGGCGCATTCTGCTTTGGCACTTCTTGTCAGCTGTTTGCTAACATTGGCACTGCCTCCTCTTTCTTTCTTTCTTTGTGTGTTCAGTCGCTGTCAGGGTTGAATCAAGAGGGCTGTGCTACCACCCTGCCACATGCCTCTGCCTTCAGACCCGTGCAGGTATCTCTAGCTGTTATTGTTCACCAGCAAAGCCAACAGGAAGCCTCTGTTGGATCTACAAGTCTGTTCTAACATGTATTAATCTATCAGAGTCTAATCTGACATTCAGGTTGGGTATGAAACTAGTCTTCCCTTGTTTTAACTTTAAGTCTTCCTTGGGCCTCCATCATGAAAACACGCTAATAACTAGCAGCAGTCTGATCCCTGTGTGGACTAACTGGTTGTTAGATTCTTGATTCCTGTCACCTTTCCTTTACAAGGTTATTTTTCCTCCCCATAACCATCTGGTAATCTGGCTGCTGTTGACTTGTAGCTTATTGGAAAAACCTTTATTTTCTTTGCAAGTTTGCTGTTAACATTACGTGTGAATATCCTGGGCATCTTCCTCTGTTGTGAAAAAGGTTTTGCTGGATTCCATAGTCAATATGTTCATCACAAGGAATTGTTAATTCATATTAGTTCCACTGTTAGTAGAACCACAGTATCTTCCAAATTGAGGGGAAGGGAGTGAGAGGTGCTTTTAATACCAGTTTTGCTGGTCAGTACTGGTTAATACCAGTACCAGAAGTGTGAGACGCAGTTAATACCAGTTTTGCTCAGGCAGAGACTTGGAGCAGGCTATGTATTGATGTCAAGGCTGCCATCTTGCATGTTTGCATGACATGTAATTGCCTGTTTTTCAGTGTTCCCTTTAAAAGAACAGATTGTTTTGGGGGGTGTATAGACACAGCACTCCACTTGTCTCCTCCAGAAGCAATACCTCTTGCTATTTTATTCCTAGAGGAGTAGTATCAGTTGTGCAAAAGAAAGGTCCATTGTACATCTGTAGGGGGTGAAAGGGTACAGTCTGATGGGTTCCCCCCCCACACACACAAACATACACTTACATATATCTAGGTGGCTGGTATCTTCTGAAAAGCTAGTCACGGCTCATCTGAGTAAGGGTTATTTATGCTCCCCTCTTCTTATCTGCCCACAGAGTGATGACAGATCTGCCATCTCTCCTGGTTCGCCAACAACTCAGACAGGTAAGCGAGAAGGGGGAGCAAAATGTCTGAAAAGTAGCAATAAAGTGGATTAAATTGCTTGTTTGCATAGTTAACATGGCTGAATGTGCTTCTCCGTGTGCATGGGACTGTTGCGTGCGAGACACATAGGTGTTCAGCTCTCTTCAGGACCATGTCTATGAACTGATACTAGGAATGGTGGAATATTCATGGGGAAATAGTAGGGCTTGATGGCTTCCATGCTGTGATGCAGGCATTGGCCCAGTGGCCTGTTGAAAGCAAGGTCTGTTAGTAGCAGTGCATGAGAGAGACTGCATGCGGGTGCCACAGTGGTGCTGTTTTCTGCCCTGTGCCTTGTACCATGCATGGCTCTTGTGTATTTCTCACATTACTCAGGCATGGCTGACATCTGGTTTCCCATTATTATATTGTAATTTGATTTTGTTCTTTTAATTTATGCTTTGCCGAACCCATTTCCTATTAAATGCTAACCTTTCTCTTCCTGTGCCTCTCCACATTTGTTCAGTCCACCTTTCCCCTCAATATCCTGGCCCTGCTGCTCCTCCTTCCTATAGAAACCCTTCCCAGCGACCTGAGAGTTTCCTTTTCCGACCAGCTGTAAGGGATGAGACAAACAAAGGTAGGTTGTGCAGCTGGAGAAATGACTGTTGCTAGATGATATTCATTTCTGGGTTTGGATAGTTTTTGCATGGTTTTCTTACCTTACCAGTAGCTTTATTCTCCTCAAGCTAGCTTTGGAGTGCCAGCTTTGGGTACCTCCTGTTACGCGTTCCTGGAATAAACCGTTAGAGTCCTATTCATGGTTTAGTCCAGTGTTTTTGCAGTGGTGAAATGTAGAACTAAGAGATGGAAGGAAGGCAGAACGTGACATGCGTGTGTATGCACTTGGGGGTAGGATTTGCTCTCCTGGGCTTATCCTTTCAGCTGTAAGGAAGCCATGGAAGTGCTGTTTAAAGCCAGTTGGTAGTGGTAAAAGCAACTCCACAGGCTTTGCATTGTTCTGTAAAACAACATCAGAACTCATGCCTTCATAATAAGGCTGAAGCTGCATTTGGCATCACTTTATCCAGCTGAAATTCTTTTCATGGAGGCGTTTGTTGACCAAAAGAGAAAGAGTTAATTGGGTATGGAAACACCGTAGGCCGATGGTGCTAAACTTTCCAGCCCTGCAGGCTGGATAAGTGGCATGGGTCCAGATCCCATACGCAGGGTCACTCCGCAGGCCTGATCCAGCATGGGGTTGGTCCACAGGTGTGATCCAATGTATCAGTCTGACCCCATGTGCTGCACTAAGCAGAGTACAAGACATGGCATGGAAATACTTAAATTATTAATCTAATGAAGGAAACGGGTATGTGGAGTGAAATGTGCTGTACCCAGGCTTGTATGTTGTGCCCATGTAACACTGCAGGATAGAGATTCCTTCCCAGCCATTTTCAGTGCTTTTTTCCTGTATGCAATTTTTCTAGCTGTTATTTCATCTTCCCCTTCTGCCTTGGTCCCTGCTAATGATTCGACAGACCCTCGAGCAAGACAGAACGCCAAGCAGCGTGAGAAGGAGCTGGAGTTGATAGAGCAGCTGCGGAAGGTACATATTGACAATAACTAATATGCTGACATCTTAGAAAACTGTAAGCGTGATGCTAATGTGACTCTCCTGTTTTGGATTTGTCTCATTTCACACATGCCCACAATTTTGATCATTTTACATTGTAAAATTGTTTCCTCTCTTCTGGGTGCATTGTTCTCTAGCTTCCTGTGTTGTGTAATGTCATGTCCCATACAGCAGTGGGGGCCACAGATTAAGCCCTGTGTCCTCCCCGAATGCCACTCATCCCCTTCCCCTGCCTGATCTGCTGCTCTGCCTTTTGCTCCCTGCCCTCCTGCTGCTTTGTTGCCTGCCCTCTAATCTGCCACGTGTCACAAAAGCTGCTTGTGCCACTTGTGGCAGGTTGTCCACCCAGTCAAGGTGTTGACTCCTGTATCTGGCTGGGCAGCGATACCAGCTTTCATTGCTCCCTTGCTCGAAAGAGTAACAAGCAACTTTGTGCTTTCTCCCGTGCGGTCCCATGTTCTTGTTGGCAAGGAGCAATTTATAAGCCTCCGCAAAGGTGGTCCATCGTGCATCTTCACATCGCTCCTGAAAAGTCAACCAAAATTTGGCAAGAGGATGCATGTGCTGAGCTAAGGGTGCTCCCTGTCATGCTCATCAGTGTTAACTAAGTGTTCCTTATGCCCCACCACCTCTCTTTATCCATCTCTTGATTCTTGGCTTGTCCACTGAAGCAGAAACCCTCACTTTGTTCTTTATTTGTGCCAGCCCTAGTCCAGTGAGACTCTGGTCCGTGACTGAGGTTTCATGGTTCTATTTCAACTTGAATCATAAATTAAAAAGGGGCTGTGCTGCAATTCTGCTGTGTTCACACGAAGACAGGTGCATTTGGGAGTGCATTAAATCTTTTCTGTTTATGCTCAGGAGCTTAGGGATCTCCCCTGCATTCACAGGTGATCGTTAACCAAAGGAATCCCCCAAATCTTTATTTCCTTGTGATATAGAGTTGTAAGCTGCCATTTGTTATTTTAGACTTTTGTCACTGAGGAAGAAATTCTTGCCCGCTCCATCGGCGCGGATTCTGAGCATAGTGACCAGAAGCAGTCCGAGCTCTGGATTCTTTTCTTTCTGCTTGTGAACTTAAAGGAACCTGTAACCCAACATGTTTTCTAAATGATGCTTTGTGCTGTTGTAGCACCTCTGTCCTCTTGACTGCAGAGTGGTTTGCATAAAACGAGCCTCAGAGTCGACTCGCACGTAGGCCAAGGTTTGAAGTGTAAAAAACAGAATAATTTTAGGTGTACAGTAGTGATTCACGCAAGTTCCTGCAGTGAGTGAATAGGACAAGAATCCAGGACGTGTGAGCCTAGTCTCCTTGCCATAAACACTGTGCTTTGCTGCTGCCTTTTGTTTTAACCAATATAAACTGATGATACTTGGTAGTTCAGTGTTTCTTTACAGGAAAATAGTATCTGGCCTTTTGTGGCTGCTTCCACACCAAGACTTGTGTGGGCAGCTCTCTTCACTTCTGTTTAGTAAAGCTGCCTTCTGAATACATTTCTGAGACATGTTCTTCACCCTTGGATTTGTGGTTTTCATCACTTCTGAGCAATGTTCTTTTATCTCCGGTACTATATTAATGCCATGTGCTGTGCAGCCAAAACTCATTTGTCTTTTAGGTCAGTCATTCTCACCTGTGGTCAGCTGTGGATCCCAGTGGGGAACAGATCCTGCCTTGGTGACCCACACTGGCATTTGAGAAGCCAGCCACGGCCTATCGGGAGGGGGCTATGAAACATTCTGTTGAATGAAAGTTTGCGAAGAGCAGCTCTTGTTACCCATTTAACTGGATTTTTAGATTGCGTTGTGGTTTTCTTTTCCTTCCTTTGCAGAATATTGAGTCACGGTTGAAAGTATCTTTGCCCAGCGATCTCGGAGCTGCTCTTACTGATGGCGTTGTTCTCTGCCACCTAGCCAATCATGTGCGGCCTCGATCTGTTCCCAGCATACATGTCCCCTCGCCTGCTGTAGTAAGTATACAAGGTTTTGAACGTTTGTCGCTACCTACGGTGGCCTTTCATTATTTTGTAGGCTAGGTGGGAGTCGTGGGCAAAACGCTCTTTTCTACTGCTGAGCAGACTTGGTTACAATACCAGTCTCCCTTGCCTATGCAGAATGTGTAGTCCAGCCACGGGGGGGAAGCTAGTGAGATTTGCTTTTGTCTCATTTATGTAAACAATGACTTCATCTGATACCATGTGCTAGAGCTAAATATAGCGATTAGAAAGCTTTATATTATTATAAAACAAAAGACAGGACTCAACATGAGAACCAAAATACAGGATATTTCACCAGCCAAAAGAAATACAGAGGGGCAGCTAGTAGAAATGTACAGCATTTTCCTTTATGAGTCACAGTGTGGTTCAGAAGACAGCAGAAAAATGGAGTCATAATTCCTTTGTGGAAGATGTGAATTGATTCCTGTTCCTAGCTGAAGTTTACATTGATAGCAGCTCCTCTCCTGTGAAATCTTAGTGAAATGCATTGTTCAAGGACCCTGAAGCAGAGCAGATCAGCTCAGCCATGCATTTGTGAGGAGATACAGAGAAAGGAGCTGATCTTTGTATAATACATTCTAGGGCAATGCGTGGCACTAGTTACACAAGGCAGCAGAAAAATGCTTCAAAAGTTACTTTGCTTTTATGGGACTGGAACATTTGGGGCTGTTTCTTTTAAAAGTGTGTAAAGCGGTGCAGAAAAAGTACAACCTCTCTGACTTCCTTATTAACCACCAACAAATGTGTGCACAGAAAACACAAGCAAACAAAAAAAAATCTCTTGGCTATAAAAAGACTTTAAGGAAACCAAGCAGTAACCTACCTACCACATCCACAAGATAGGAATGGTCTGTTTGCCCATGAAAAGCTCCTTGAAAATCAGTCTCACCTAGGAATCACCTGTTTTCCCTCTTTGCTCCTGGCAGATTTAGCTGAACACTACCCTCATTAGACTCCAAGCAGAGCCATGCAATGCCCCCCCCCCTTTCTATTCCCTTCCAAAAATACATGAGTGTATTTAACTTGTATTTTGCTTTCCACAAGGCAGATAACTGGCTTGTTACAGTCATTTGCGTTGTTTGAAAATAGGATGAATAAAAAAAGGAGAACCCAAGAGTCTTGGGGAGAGTGGGGGGACTGAAACATGCCAGTTCTGCTTTGGTTTGACTTCTTTTGTAATGGCTGGAGCTCTTAACTGGCACTTACAGCTCTGTGTACCCTGTCATTGTGGTGCCTCTTCTGTGGGCTCTTTTGAACAGATGTCCCCATGGCTTAGATAACAGCCTAACTAAATCTGCTGGTATTTAAGGCAGATTATGGGAATCCTCAGAAGCATACTCCTACAGCAGCCGGGCAGCAAGCTCACTGCATGATGCAGATCTCTCTGATCTTCATCTGTGTTTTCCTACATTATTATAATCATATAGATTATATTATTAGATCAGTAGATGATATGATTATATCATGTAGATTAAATCAACTCAATCAGGGCTTTGCAATAGGCTCCGAGTAAGGGACAGACTGGAGTTTTGCTACCCTTGGAGAAGAACAGGGATCATCGTGGGGCTGAGCCATGACGTGGCCTCTACGGCCCCTTCTCCCTGCACTGGGGGAAGGGATTGGCATCTGGCCTTAATCTGGCATGCATTACTGCCCCCTCTCTGGCTGGCCATCCACGGCTTCACTGCTGTAGTTAGCTTGTGCCAAGGAAAGAGGGGGCGTGTCTCTGCACAGGCCTGGTCTCATCTCTTCTTTTGCTGATATCTGAAGTCTGAGTAAAGGCAGTGCTGCTGATGCAGGAGCCTGAAACATTCATGAACCTAATTAGCTTACTCGTTACTTCATTAGGCTAATTAGCTTACTCGTTAGCTGATTTAATCTAGCTCATGTTTTTGCCTATCAGTTGAGGTACATGTTGCATATTCACATCGTGAAATTGCTGTGTCAAAGGATACTCTACTGCAGTCGCATGTCTTTGTTTTAGTCTAAGCATGGCTTTAAGACCAGCAGAATGCATCCTTTTGAAGTAGACATTTTAATAGAAAAAAGGCAGTAGTGATCTCTGCACAGCAAGGTGTGAGAAAACAGGCCGTCCAGTTGTCCATCTCAGTGCTTCATGAGTGGGGTCCTCGTCTCATGCTTGCCCAAGGAAATACCAAAGTTCCCTGTAGCAGAGCTCTGTTTTGAATTACACAAGCTTATGTCACCAGGATGTGTTTTGTGTCCTGTGGATTTATTACGAGTTGATTTAAACCAAATACCGTGTGCTCTTCTTCCCTACTTTGCAGCCCAAACTGACAATGGCAAAATGCAGACGAAACGTGGAGAATTTCCTGGAAGCTTGCAGAAAGATCGGCGTGCCTCAGGTAACTGGCCTGCTGCTCTTGTCGCGGGTGGGGGAGTCTGCAGTGTTCTTCTCTAGCAACATATAGCTGCTGTCACTGCTTTACAAAGAACACACTGGATGTGTGGGATATGCATCAAGCTCACAATGGCTGTATCCAGTTGGATGCTGTCCTGTAGATTTGTGGGGTACATTACTTTTATAGTAATTGTGGGGGGGAAATCATTCAAATTTTCCTAAGACTTTATACTTGGTGCCTTTTAAAAAAAAATGAAATACGTTTTGGAGGTAGACTCGTGTGCGTTCGCTCGGAGCCCAAAGTTTCTGTTGTGCCTTCAGAATAAAACCTGGCACTCAGACCTTTCAGGAGAGCACTTGTGATTGCCTAACCAGAAATTATTTTCTCTGATGTTGACTATCTCTGCATAAATATCCTATGCATAACTCCTTCGTTATATGTCCTTGCTCTAAAACTCTGCTGCCTTCTGGAATCCCTCCTCACCTTCCCAAGGCATTGCATGTTCTCTGTCAGGACAAGAGCCCAAGAAGGAAATACTGTAGATGGTATAGCACACCATAGTCCACCTGCCTCTTTTATTTTTCCTCCTCCTTTCCACCACTTGGCATCTGACAGCAGCTGTCTTGGGGCAAAAAAAGGATATTTTAATAGCTATTTGTGGTTTCTTTCCTCCTGCACTGTATTAATTGGTTTGTTTTCTTATATGAAGAAGCAAGTGTTAGAATTTCTTTTGTTGCAGTTGTGTTTTTCCTGTTTGCTTCCTGAAAGGCATATCTGAAAAGGAAAAGTGGACCTAGTGACTCACTTCCCCACTCCTTCTGAGACTGATTGTCTCTTGACAATCGCTGCTAGTGCAATATATGCCTGAATTAAGTCATTAGTGGCTTTGCTTGCAAGCTGTTTTACAGGTGTTTGCCTCAAGCCCTCAGGAATGTAGCACAAGAATGACATAGCTGCCAATTAAGGTCTTGAGACTCACTCCTTGGAGAGCTGGGAGCTGTGCAGACAAATTAGGGGCTTGGTGGGATTGGTGGGATATCAGCGGTGTGTTCTGAAGTGCCGCCTTACCTGGGTGTCCGGAAGCACTTCAGGATCTCGCACCTTGTCGGCCTCCAAGCGACTGTGTGTTTCATGGAGTTTGGGAGACAGGGCAAGTGAAATATAGCTGCTGCGATCCCCTGCTGCCTCAAGTGTGCTTTGCTAAGTCTGGGTTACATGAAATTCAGAGAAGCAGATGGGGCTGAATCACCTCGCATCTCCCTGTGCTCTCATTTCTTTTGCACTGAGCTTCAGATGAGTGCTCCTGAAGGAGGAGGTCTCTGGGTTTCTTTACTAATGGGCTCCCTCCCTGAACACTGCACGTACCCCCCTTCCCAGGTCTTCCCCTGGGACTGAGGTGAGAAGAGGGGATATCCTCCCAAAGAAGGGCATTCTGCTGTATTGTAAGTGAAAAGTTGCCTGCACATGTATCCTCTCACTTAATTTTGAGATGACGGAAACATGGGGCTGCCTCAGAGGGTGGGCCAGTGCAGAAATATTTGCCTTTTAAGACAGCAAGTTCGCTACTGTCCATTACTCTGTAAAGGCCGACTCTTGGTTCAGAGTAATTCTGTCAGATGCCATGCTGCGGTGGCTTCGGATGAAAAGAAACCGAGCTGGGCGCTGTGATGTGCTATATATGCCCCTGCCCCTCCTTGTTTGCAGCAGCTGCTTCTTGAAGGTCGGTGAGAGGTCCAGAAATGCTGATAGTTTTAGACCGCAGAAGCCCTGTGATCAAGTATTAGGTATCTCTGCAGGGTATGGCATCCAGAGATCGGCAGTGGGTCAGTGCTGCCTGCCTGTGCAAAGAAGAATGACACCAATTAAGCAGGTGTTAATTGTTTAGGACTGGAAGCCTCCCTAGGAGCTTGCAGTAGTTTTAAAAAAATCTTATCCAGTAAATTCCTTACTTCCAAGGTGGAATTGGTTTGCCCCAGGACTGATGCCAAGTGTCCCCTGTTCTGTTGAAATAGAAGTGAGCTGGGCTGCCAGATCCCCAAGGATAAAAACACATACAGAGAGGGATTTTCTGAGCAGAATTGGTTCAGGTCCTTTATAAGTAGCCAGCTGTACCTTGCTCCTCGTGTTTGTTGGGTATATCTGAGATGTCTGATGACTGTCTGCTTTGTGGATGTTTGTACAACTAACCAACTGACCTCTTCTTTTTTTTTTCTCTGTCTGTTTTCCCTTCCTGCTCTCACACCCCGGACAGGACAATCTTTGTTCCCCTTCTGACATTCTGCAGTTAAATCGCAGCGTTAAAGGGACAGTTGAAACGCTGCTTTCCCTGGGGACAAAGTCAGAAGAATCCGCTCTTGTCTCCCTTTCCGTCCAGCTCTGGGGCTTTGTGGCGTTTTACTGCACTCTAATGCTAACGCTCTGTATGTTCTATCGCTGGGTCTTTTTCCTCTAGCTGGAGGCCGGTGGTGCTGCTGGTGCCACATCGCTCCAGGGCTTGGTAACGGCTTTTGTTTTCGGCAAGAACTATGTGTATAAGTGCATCCCCTCTGCTCCCCCAATGGATGGGACATGTACAATGTATAAGCTCTCCAGCACGGCCAGGTGACCATCCCTGACACCATTTCCAGTTTGTATTTGCTGTGTGGTATCTAGCCAGTATATTACTTACAAAGAAGGAACTGTCCTCCGCTGGGCAGAACAGGGGACTGGGTCACAACACCTGGGTGCTAGTCACAGCCCTATGAACTAGCTGTGTGATGGTGGGGAAAAGCACATCTCCACTTTGTGCCTCGGTTTCCCCATCTGCAAAATGGGAGTGCTCCCCACACCTGTCAAGTGTTTTGAGACTCCCTGATGGAAAGTGATGTATAACGTGCATTCTGTTTTCTTCAAATGTCAATGTTCCTGCCCTGATCTCGCAGTCTCAGGAGATGTGGCCTGGTGCTTTTTTCAGGAGTGCTCTAGGTTTTGTGTCCTCAGGATTTCCCCCCTCCCTTTCCCCAGAAGAGTGGGTTTCCCATATTTGAGTCTCTGAATAGCAACCCATGGGAGTCGGAAGCACCATCAGAGCATCAGCAAACCTTGAGTTGCTTCAGTTTCCTTCTTCCGGCTCCGTCAGGCCCAGGGGCCTGTACAGGAGATGCCCTGGGGAAACTATCAGGCTTGGCACCAGACGGGCAGTATGTTAAATCCAGTCTGACACCCCGCCCTGCCGTGCTCAAAAAAAAAAAAAAGACCAGACATCTTCAGCAGCTGCTGGAGTCCAAATTGTCCTGTAGCACACTCCTTCCTGCCCAGGGACTTTGCCCTGTGGTGTCCCGGGTGTCAGGCTCGCTGCTCGCAGACCTCATGTAGTCTTCCACCGGGCAGCCCCCACTGCCTTCTGGTGCTTTCATGCATTTCTCAGGGAGCCCCTATTGCTGAGCAGCCGCGTGCGAGAGGCCACATCTCCTCGGAGTGCGATGTCCAAACTCAGGGCCGACTCAGTCGCAGGTAAGTGGCAAGTCCACGTGGCTCTTCTCAGTGTCTTTCCACAAATTCCTCTTCGTCCTGAGAGGTCTGGCCAGCTGCTCTTTTACTGGTGTTTTTACTTAAGTGGTGTTATTGCAGTAACAGCAGGAGCCCAGTTGCTGCAGTTACCAGTGAAAATGCTGCTCAGCAGACAGGCCGGGTCACTGAGCTCTTGCTAGAACAGGGTCGCTCAAGACCAGCGGGAGCAAGGGGGAAGCTGCTTGCCTTGTTTCCTGAGAACGCTGCGGCTGACGTACGGCGTTGCTGTCTGAGAGCGCTGCCCGAGGACCTGGCTCGCTGTCCTTCCTCAGAAGCCAGGGTTATAGCTGATTCAAACGAAAACAAATCCCCGTTGCAGCTATTTTTGCACTCTTTACTGGTACGGACTAAAATTTAACTCAGTTGCCTATGCTGACTTCTCGTAATCAACACTGTGATGAAAACTGCTCGGGTTTGACACTAACGGTGCCTTCCAGCTTTAAGCCCTTTTGTCTGTCCTAACTCTCTCCATGGTGTGGATTCATTCCAACGCCTGTCCCCTTGCTTCTTTATGTTCCTTTGAGATGTAAAGTGAAAACTAAAAGAAGTCAGCGAGAGCCTCAGGGACGTTCCTCGTGAGCTGTTGCCTCCAGATCTCGTGGTACCTGCTGCCAGCTTGTTAAAACAGGTCTGGCGGGGGGATCCGTCTTGCTGTGAGGCATGCGGGGAGGGAGTGTGTGTCAGTATTCATCCCCTCCATGCGAGAGGCCTGGCCTGTGCTCGCTCCCCCGTTCTGAAGGACTTAGCTCCCAAGCAGCCCGTGCAGAAGGACAGGTTGGCCTGCGAGGACTTCATAAACGTGCATCAGTTCTCGGGGTCCTCCTGGGATGACAAATTTGGGGTGCCCCATTTTTTTAAATGAAGAGGTCTCAGGCTGGAACACTGGTTTGCCCCGGACAGCGGCAGGCTCAAGTGGGAGCACAAGCTCGGGGGCATCAGGGTCAGGGTCAGGCCCTGCGTTGTGTAGCTCCCCCCCAGAATAGCACGGTTCTGAATGGATGCCTTGGGAACTCGCTCCGCACTTTGTATTTTAACCTGCTGTTTCTTAATAAGAACACTTTTTGATGCTGCTGGCTGCTGGTATTAAACACGCAAGGCCAATAGTGGAGAGCTTGACTGACCCTTTGTATGTGTACAGCGAGGATATTTGCTTCACCTTACACTGCCTCTCTGTCACGGTAGCCTGGCCACTGCTGACGTTTCTCCTTATCCAAAGCAGTCCAGTCCTTCATACAGATGAGGCCCTATTTCGGCATGCAGCAGCCTGCGTGCTGTGCTGTTCCCAGGGATTTCTGCTGTCTCAGAGGAGAGATCAGAGCAAATGTATGGGCTGAGAGCATTTAAGGGGGGGGTCTGTTGTGTGCAGTGCATCTCCTGCCGCTGCCAAGCAGCCAGATGCTTTGCAGCCTTCCCTCCAGCGTTTCCAAGCCACACACTGATACCACTCGATTAAAGGCTCGAAAAAAGGGACTTGGCTCGTCCACATCTGGGACTTAAAAGTGTCTCACACAGCCCTGGTCCGGTACAGAAATGTAAACGTGGTTTCTGTCGTGCTCTCAGCATTTTATCGTGCTCGCCAGGTGGATTCCACCCCACCAGTCAGTCTGATCCCGATGTCATTGAGGTGATGTCATTTAAGTTTGCATGACGGAGGAGGCAGATGTCCGCTGTCCCTCCTCTCGCCTCCTCCCCCCACAAGTCTCCTGATTTGTAACATGTTTTCCGCGAGTCCTGATTGAATAAATAAACTGATTGTCCCAGACTTTGTGGATTTCTTACCACGGTCACGGTCTGTAGGTAAAGAGCTACGTCCATCCATGTTTTTGTTTGTTCATTCCAAGTCGATAACGTTCCACGTTTCGGTCTCCTCCTGCTGGTTTAATTTGCCTTTTTTTTTTCTTTCTTTCCCCTTTTTGGTTGATTGTTTTCATCCCTTTTCTTTTTGTCTTTGTTTGTTTCCCCATTCAGGAGCAATTATGTTTGCCTCTGCATATTTTAGAAGAGAAGGGCTTGGCCCAGGTAGCAGCGACTGTCCAGGCACTTCTGGAGCTCGCGCCCCCCAAGCAGCAGCATCACCACTTGTCTGCTGTTTAAAGACCTCCAGGACCTTTTGGTTTCCCTTGGCTAAGCGGAAGACGGTGAAGAGGGCACTGCTGATGCAGTTGTCCACGCACGCAGAGCTCTGTTCTAAGAAAGAAGTTAGTTTCCCTGATTCCTGACAGGAATGTTTTGTTTCATTTCTCCACTTTTTTTGGAGATCGCACCAGTTTCCATTTCATTTTTTACTCCCCTTCCCCTCCCCCCCTTTTTTAACCCCTTATGAAGGGACGCTGGGTGTAGGGAGGGTAGGAGGGTGGGAATTCACGTGTCTGGTTGTTAGGAGCTGTGTTGACACTGACCGTGCAGGTGGTTGATGCACGGGAGGGTTGAAACACTCCCGGGCTCCTAGCACTAGCAGTTTCCAAAGTGGGGAGGGGGATGCCATTTCCATTGCAATGTCCCCTCGGAGATTTGCGGCAAGGTGAGCTGCCATGCACCGTTGCACGTAAGGATCACAGGTTAGAGCTGTTCCCTGCAGCTGTGCGGAGCCAGGCAGGCCGATGATACAGCTTCCCCACCAGGGCCCAAGCATAAAAACGCAGGCGATTTCCCCGGCCACCCCAGCGGAGAAGATGCTGCTCGCCACTTTCCTGCCACGGAGAGCGCACGCTGCAGGGGAAGATGCTACGCCCAAACTGCTCAAATACCTGCATTAAGCACATTAACATCCTGGGTGGTTTAAGTCCATCTGTGGCTGGGAACTCGTCCTGCATCTGTAAGGAAATGTCCCCCCTCTCGCAGGATCAGAGACTCACTTGGTTCTGCCAGTCTGGCTCCTTGGCTCAGACCTGCTGCCCAAAACAAGTGAAGGTTTTCCTGCCGCAGATCACAAGCCTGTTTTTGCAGCAGGGCAGAGAGTTATTCTGAGCGACTGTTAGAAATTCATGAGGAAATAATGGTGCGCCAGCCAGCCCCCACAAAGACCCCGCTGCGTAGAGCCCGGGAGCACTGGCTGTGTTAGCAAAGCACCGACGTGTTGTGAAGGGGAACTTCTGTCGGTGCGTTTGCCAGCACCTTCAATAAAACTCCCGCAGGGCTAGAAACCTTGGCACAGCTGCTCACGCAAAAAGCAGCGATTCCAACATGCAAGTGAGAGGGACCAAATCTCAGCTTTGCTGCGTGAAAGGGGCCTTACAGCGCAAAGCCCAGATCTCCACGCCCTGGGGTCCCCACCAGGCCAGGACCACATCTTTGTAAAAATGCATTTCTCCCCCATGAAATCCTCTTGATAGTCCCTGGCTCACGTGAAGTGTCCTGGAAGGCCACGGTGCCGCTGTCACGGCCTGCGCGGGAGGCTCCTGTCATCTGCGATGTCCCATTACGGGGCAGATTCAGTGCCCCAGCAAAGCCGAAAGGATTTGGGGTCAATGAAGGGAAGGGAGGGACAGAAATAACACTGTTACAATTATGAAAATGTTGGGCCTGGCTGGACTTTTTTGTTTTTGATTTGCAGGTCCCCTTCCCGCTCCTGCCTGGTTTGCATAATTGTCTCAAGGTCCCTTGTGGTAGCAGTTGCCTCACTGGCTTCCCAGGACAGCGGGTGGGTGTTGACATCCCCCAGTCAGAGCACAAATCTAGGGAAATGTGAAGGATATTTAAACCTAGACCTGCACAGCTGTTTCCATCCCCTGCTTTGGAGCCTGTGAGATCAGTGACTTGCAATGTAGAAAGGAGGCGAGGGGCTCCACAGATAGAGCCTCCCTTCGGAAGGGCTGTAGCTTCCCTGTCACCGCCCCTGGGTCCTGTTGAAGGCTGTAGGGGACAGGGTGGGCCTTGAAGGATGACATAGATACAAATGGAGACCTTTCGTTGAAGTCTGCCACTGTGTACTGAATGGAGGATATAGATTTCTGCCACTCACTGCTATCACCATAGACACATCTGCTGTACACCAGATGTGCTTTGAAAGGGTGTGTTGGGCTCGTCTGAATTTCAGTGTTAGATATTGTGTCACGTGCACTGTTTAAATATCACACCCTGCTTTAGGTCACGTAG